GCGGGGGGGGGGGGGGAATCATAATCATAGTAAAGCAATCCAGGCTCCGACGTGCCCCGTTTCCTTTGCAGACGAGTGTTAACTTTGGTTTAAAAATAAAAAAAAACAAAAAAGCAAAGGAAAGATTTCTTTTTTTTTTTTTTTTTCCTCCCCGGGAGATGAAAGTGCATCTTGGAAGTGATGCATCATGCGCCTTAGAAACACCACGTCTGCTGCACTTTCTTTGTCTGGGGGAAGCCCGGCGCTGGCCGTCGGACCGGGACTCGGCAGCCCCGGCGCGGGGGAGAGAGCGGCTGTCCCCCCGCACCCCGTTACCCACCTTGTCTCCCCACTATCTCCGCGACATGCTCCGAGCTGGGCACCGGCACGCACTCTGTCATGTTCACGCTCTTTTTCCGAGGCTCATTGTCGTAGAGGGAGCCCGCCTCGTCGTTGTCCAGCCCCAGCAGGGAGAGCTGATCCAGGGCGATCTGCAGCGCTCTTTGGTCATCCAGGGTCTCTCCCCCGCCACCACCGCCACCTCCTCCTCCGCCGCCGCCGCTCCCGTTCCTCTCCATGTCTGCAAAAAGCGAGCTGGGCATAGTCCCTGTGTGTGTTGCACCCTCCTCCTCCTCCTCCTGCACTCCGTTCAGTAGTAAAAGATCAGACACAAAGGAAAGCCCAAGGCAGATGGCCAGCAGGAGAGGAGCAAAGGGAGGGAGGGCGAGTGCTGGAGACCGGGGATCTGTTGCCCTTTTTTTTTTTCTTTTTTTTTTTGGGCTTGTAATATTTTGTATCTTTTTCTTTCCTTTTCTTTTCTGTTCTTTTTTTGTTTTTTGCAGTGCAATCCGGTTTATAAGACGTTTCCACGACCCCCCCTCGGCTCCCCCCCAAGTTTTTTTTGGCTGGGGGGTGGGGTGGGGGGGGCAGAGAGAAGCGCTCCGATGGTTTCCCCCCCTTGAGTTCCCGGCCGGCCACAATGCCAGGCGATGGCAGCGTTTCTTTAAGGAGCCCCTCCCCGGCTCCACTCCACTCACTCAGCGTTTTTTTCCTCCTCTCCCCTCCTCTTGTCTGAGCCGCTGCTGCAGCCAGACGGCACTGGAGAGAGGCGGGAGCGGGGGGCGGGCGCGGGGGGCCGCGGCGTCAGCGGCGGGAGCTGACAGCACAATGCGGCCGACCCCGCCGCCGCGAGCGCGGATTGGCCGAGCGCGGCGAGGAGGGGCCGGGCCGGGGCTGACCCCCCTCCTCCCCCCGCTCTCCCCGCGCCCGCCTCCTCCGCGCCCTCCCTGCGGGCCCGCTTCTCTTTGTTGTCTGCTGCGGAACAATACGGCGGCCAGGCCCTGCCCGGCCCCGAGCGCCCCCTAAACGCGACCACGGTCAAGGTGGAGGCCCCCCCTGTGCGCGCCGGCTCACCCGTCAGGCGCGAGGGAGGGAGGACGCCGCCTCCCCCCGCGGTGTTGCTGCAGCCCGGCGCCTCATGGGGAGACGCGAGGCGAGGCGAGGCGAGGGGCCGGGCCTCCCCGCCGGCTGCCGCTGCTGGGGGAGGCCTGCGGGCGAAGCACCTGCTGGGTGAGGGGGCTGTAAGGAGGACCCCCCCCCCGCCC